GTACGGGCATGTAGAGTACGGGCATGTAGCGTACGGGCATGTAGAGTACGGGCATGCAGAGTACGGGCATGTAGGGTACGGGCATGTAGAGTACGGGCATGTAGAGTACGGGCATGTAGGGTACACCCTCTCCACCAACACTCACCCTGAACCACCACCTGGTTGCTGGGCACCAGGATCTGCTGGCCATCTGTGGTCTGTGCGTACTGCAGGATGGTGGTTCCCGGCTGGGCGGCGGCCGCGTTGGTCATGGTCAGGGTCTGCAGGCCCTGCACGCCGTCTGTGCCATTGTTAGCCAGCTGGATGGCGCCGCCCTGCGTGATGGCGACTGCGACAAAATAGGCACGATGTGAGCCGGCAGCGGGAAGATGGTCAGGAGGGTAAGTACAGAACTGGACCGTCAGACGCAGCAGGCCCACGCTGCCCTAAGCGTGTCAATGGGGGCGAGCTGGGCACGTACTGTACTGCCCGCTACTGGTCTGGTAGATGGGCGTCGGCACGGTGACCGTGGTGATGGCAGGTGCCGAATCTTCCTCCAACCTCTCCTCCTCTATCCGCGGGACCCCCGGTGCGTCGGATGACAGGTCGTTGAGGATCTTTCTGTGGGAGGGCAAGCGCACCAGAACTGGTTACCATGGCAACAGAGCAGTGCCAGGGATTTCCAACTGCAGATATCTCATACAGACACCAACCTCAACGCTGCCCCCTACTGGTGCATCAGTGCAACTGCTAACATGGTTTTTCCAGGTAACCACCCATCCAAGAAGAAACCGAGCTCAAACATGATGGTATCGCACTAGACAGCAGCTTGTTATACACTCAGATATGACCTTGAGAATAAGAGAGGCTGGGGCGGGGGGGTTGTACCTATAAGAGGGGCGTCTGGACAGGATCTCCCTGCGCTTCTGTGAGTCTGTCACACTATCCACCGACTCCTGGGAGTCCTCGCTCTCCGCAATGGTGGAGATCTGAAAGCCAGGCAAAATACCACCGCTGCTGAATTCACGAGGACATCACTGTCATGAACACAGGAGGACTGCAGCGTACGAAGAAATACATGCACTAAAATGCACCTTAAAATGCATCATCCATCATGCATTACATCATCAGTGAGCACAGACAGTTATAGACCCTGGTTTTTTCTATCAGCCCGCTTGAAACATTCTTCTAAAATCATTTAGTCCTGTACTTTCATACACATTTTGCACCCCAGGCTGGGTAAACTTTATCGTAAAACACTGCATCGCTCAGCAGATTTAATTGCGGGGGACCAAACTTAATGCTGAGTTTGAGTGCCATCTAATATTTCTTCAGAGGGCTGAAACCCCCAAAGGTCAATTCCTAGAATCGCCCCTGACAGTGAGCGTGGGACATTACCCAGGAAGCACTGGGCACAAGGCCAGGGACACCCAGGAAGGGACGCCAGGTCCAAATTTTATATTTAAGTATAAAATAGGAAATAAAGCGCAAAAAAATTATACAACACAATTCCTTATAGCTGGAACAGTCAGGACGCACTCACCTGCACAGCCTGCACCTGGGGCGACTGGATGACGGACGGCTGGGCGGCCTGAATGACCCCGTGCACCTGGACCGTCTGCCCATTCGGCAGCTGCACCAGGGTGACCGTGGGGCCACTGGCCGTCCCATGACCAGCTGCCATGGACACCTGTCCAGGCAGAGGGACAGTCACATGCACAGCTGAAGGCCAGCAGGGGGCGAATCCAGCCGTCTCATGGCCAGAAACGGCGGCTCCGAGCCCAATTCCCAGGTGCATTACAAGAGCCACTCAGAACCCACTTAGTTATTTATTATGAACTAGAGCATATAAGAAGTTAAAGGTTTCAAACTGCTCATCTGCAGTGACGACCCACGCTGCCCCTCTTTTGGACTTTTCCATGGCTGTCCTGCTGCAAGCCCCGCCCCCCCTTCCTGAGATCCAGTACAGCCAGCAGGGCAGCGAGGGCGGTGTCTGCCTGCCAGGGCTTACCTGTGCCAGTGTGGCGATCTGGGCCTGGGCAATCTGCTGGCTCTCTGTCTCAGACACTGGAGCGTCGCCACCCTGCTGAGTGTCTGTGGCCGATTCCATGGTCATTTAGTTAGCTGAGGATATAGAGGGGAGAAGCTGCGGAAGATGCTCAGCAGAGAGCAAACTGATGCCGCAGAAACAAACACGGCAACGGGGGGCCAAATACGCCAAGAAACGGTACCAATCCTTGATGGGAGCAGCATTCAAACACCAACAAGAACATACTAAATAACCTATTAACCGCACTTCAGTTATTTTGCACTAGGCTGGAATAATGAGCCTTCATTCACAAGCAAGAGAAAAATAAACAAAAATAAAGCTCGAATATACGTGAATAGCAGTGACGTCCTGACCCAATATCAGAGATCGGAATCGATCCAGGTATTGTTCACTCGATCGGTATCGGCTATCAAAGCCCGATCTTTTTAAACTCCCCAGCCTGCCCAATTTACGTCAGTTGTGCAGATTGTAAGGCTCCATCACATGCTGCATTAAACTTGAGGCGCACAACTTCAAACTACTGTCGAGAAGCAAGCTGTATGAAAATTTGTGAATTTGGAAACTGTAAGTAAACCGACAGCTACCTGCAATGCCATCGTTTTGAACGGAGGCAGCAGAAGGACGTTGTTTAATACAACGAATCTAATTAGAACTTGCTGAAATATCATAAGGAAGAATACCGGGAAATCAGGAGGCTCACTCAGATGAGGAATTTACCACAGCCTATTGTATGTGTTCACTGTGAGCAGCTGGGGGAGTAAGGAGTGCCACGCCATTTTGCTTTGATTAAGTTTTCTCACTCTTTTGAAGCCTGTCAGGGAGATAATAAAAGTACACAAGCTTTACTTTTCTTTTTGTTTGGGTTAGATAAAGGAGTAACTTATTTTTTCCTAGTTAGATGTGTTTTATTTTGGCCTGGTTGGCTCCTGAAGTTGTCCCATTTGCTAATAAAATCACAAGCACAAAGTTGTGGTCTCGCTCCACTTTTTGCTGTGCCTGACTTTAGACCAGGACGTAACATTACATATATTTAAATATTTATTAAAAGATTGGATCGAGACTCTGAATCAACATATGCAAATATTGAATAGGCCGGAGAAACAAAAAAGTGGATCAGGACAACCCTCTTGAAAATTTTATTTTTTAAAAATAAAATCCCACAAACGGATACGTCCATTAAGGAGCTGATAACAAGCCTTTCTGTCATGAATAAATGTTCCACAGCCGTGGGAGGATGCCATGGCTGTACGGCACACCGCAAAGATTCTTCTTCACACAGAGCCACTTCTAGACCCTAGATGTTCACCAGGGCCAGGTCCACCACCTGAACACCATCTGTTACCAGAAGGCTCATGTCCCAGAGGTCTGGTCTGTTATAAACATGTTCAGTGCTGTGACCCAGCACTGCTCAGAGTGTAACATAGCTGAGCCAGCTCACTTATCTAATCATAGCCAGAAGAGTCAGAAATATCTCAAAGCACTTCCCGTCACTGCTTACTTTAGCAGGGGCTGGTGTGCCAGTACAACCATGAGACCAGTAATCATCTGAAAATGACCCCTCAGTTACAGGAATCAGAGCCTCCCTTAACATTGACAAGAATTTGTAGGACAATTCATTTTTGACTTGTTTTGTTTCTTGGAACTACCTAAGGAGAAAGTCAAAATTCAGAGCTGAAATTTGCCTGCAGTGTGCTGTGACATGGTTGGACATCAAATTACTTTTCATGAATAGACTCTGCATGGACCAGCTGCCGCTTGTCCTTGGAAAATTATTAACAATGTGCACCAGAAAGTTTGTACAGTGTAATGTCACGTCTACGTGATTCACAGCTTGGTGACATTTACTGAGCCTTCACATTATTAAACGGCAAGAATTACAGACTGTATTCAAGTTCTACAGCAGGAGGCATGTTAATGGATTTAAAGAAAACTTGCTCACATTGTCACCATTTCAAACAAGGGGCAAGTTACCATTGATGCATGTTAGTGTAACTCTAATCCTATTCTCTTCATTTCAGAAGAAAGTTCTTGCTTAGTGAGTTTCCAACTACAGAATGTATGGCTATTATCTGTGCTTGAGCCAAATTCACATTAGGGAACAGGAAGTACTTAAAAGGAAAAGATCTGACTGCAGTTTTTCCCCAGAGTGAAGGTGACTCCCACAAAGGTGCATGTATACTGAATGCATACAAACATGTTGACGGTGCATGTGAACATGAACACGCTGTTCTGGTTTTGTAAGAAGTGACCCATTTCCACAACAGAACTGTAAACTTGCATAGGTGCGTCTGCACACTCACATACACACAGCACTGATTTGCTGGTATGGACAGGGTAAGTGCAGATTCACACACACATACAACATGGACTCAGAAAATAGGCTTTAAACACATCTTTATGCTGTTGAGTTTAATAAAAAAAAATTAAAAAAAAACTCCATCTATTGCCATGGAGACCGGCTGCTTCCAACTTTGGAAGGAAGGTGTGCCGATTTGGCACCAATCCTCTACAGCAAAGCTGAACCTGAGTCAGTCCCCACAGGCCTCGTCCTGCCCTCTGCGTTCCTCACTTGCAAAGCCAGACCTCAAGCTGCTCTGTGTCATTACACCTGATCTCCAGGCCAAGGTGGCAGACCCAGAAGACACTTTTATCCAGTATCTGCACTTGTAGGGGACACACTGATGGCCAGAGGTGCACTGCAGTAGCACAGACCCACAGATCAGGGACACAAAGTTTATTTCCGTGGAAAATAACGGCAGAGTAGCATCCATGAGACTGTGCCAGGCAGATTCATGGTGGAGGTGGCAGGTTCTGGGTCCTGCAGATTGCCGCAATACAGCGACACCACAAGCCTATTTATGTTTCAGAAACAACGCTTCACTGAATCCCATCCTCTAATGTGCAAGATTCCTTATGAATACTACCACTAAATATACAAATACATTTGTTATATTTTCTGCATTAAAGTCAATGTTACCTGGAATATAAAATGCATAGAGTCGTGATTATACATCTATCTAAATCAGTCCAGCCGAAGTACTTTAAATTTAATAACTATACTCAGTGCTTCGTGCTGCTTTCACCTCACGCCATACACCATGTGCCCATTTGTTAAAACGCGTGGGACACCTACAGACATCCCAGAAACCGCCTTTTACCGCCGCCAATGAAGGACAGAGGAATGGGCCGTGCGGAGCCCCGCGGACGCGGCCACGCCGGAATGGGCGCGCTTGAGGGCGGACCGAGCAGCCATGCAGCCGCGCCGGACAGAATAAGTCACGGTACGTGAGCAAGCCGCCGGAGAAACGCTCACCCCCGGAGACCTCCCCATGGGAGCGCTCTCCGCGGCTGCCGACCCGCTCCCTGTCCGTCCGCCCGCCATTCCACTCCCTTCCCTTCCCTTTACCGCTGCCCGGGCGCCGGCCGCTCATCCGACCTTCCATTTTCTTCCCTTCCCTCGCTTTCCCTACCCACGCTGCCTGGCTCCTCCGGACCCCCGGGCGCCCTTCCCACTCCCGCGAACCCGGCCGTACGCAGCCCAACGCCGCCATGATCTCTTTGTTTCGTCCAAACCGATAGCAGCATTGCGCCTTTTTCGAGACAGACCCACTGCCTATTACCCCCCCGACCGCCTCTCCTCTCTTACCGATACAGTCTCCCTCCGTCACTCTCGGGCCCTCGGAGCTCCACTTTTATTCAGGCCGACACGTAAGAGGCCGCGTCAGGCAACACCTCCGTCGCGTCACCGAGAACAACAACGCGGAGAGCTAGGGAAGGGAACATCAGCTCAGGCGGCTCTGCCGGGAATCGCCGAGGCGGGAACGGAACATTACGAAATCTTGACGGAGAAGGACGAACTCCAACGAAGGGCGGCGGAAATTGACGGTACTGAACTGCTGATGGTGCTCTCCGCGCCAGTAGGAGGCAGCATTATCTGTCGAATTGCCATGTATGTTGGAAGAAGAAGAAAAAGGCACATAAAGACGACAACGACGATGGGTGTCGTACACTTACATGAAACCTTATAGGGACCATCAAAATATATGTTAAATATGAAATGCATGGTGTATTAAATATTTGAATTTAAGTCAATTTAGTAGCGTTTTTAAGTGTGAGGTAGGTATTTTGTTGGAAGCTGTACGAGGATTTGCTTGGTATGGTGATAATGGAGTGGCAGTTCTGCTTTGTCTGTATACGGCCGTATACAGCGTAACCTTTGTTTAAATCTGATAAACAGCGGAGAGGCTGCAGAATGCATTTTACGCTTTCACTTTACGCGATGCATTGGGTTGACTGAGGATTTGTGTGGGTGACAAATGAGTGCAGGTGACAAAGTATTTATATGATATAAAATATAAAAAATATTTAGACAACGTACAAGGATTATATTGCTTGCTTCCTTCAGCCTGTACTGCTCACAAGACAAAAATGACATCAATAAATTACACTGATAAGCTGAAACTTGTTGCAGGTGAATAATTCCCCGGAATAGTTCTGGTTATGTATAACATTGCTAAAAGGTACAAAATATAATAATGTGCATATTGTCACCTTTAGCTATTAATATGCATATTAACACATTCAGCTAATGAACAAAATGAGGGTGAGGATCTGTGTTTTAGACCAGACTGCGTTGCACCCGTCTGTGCATTGGTTTCAGTTGCTAGTGACACGCAGCCCTAAGCCAGTCAGTTGTATTGCAATTACAGATCAAGAGATAGATTAGTGAAGGTCAGCTCACTGAAAACGGGACTCAGTGGTTAGGTAACAGTGCACCTGCCTTTGCAGGCAGGGGTCTACTGAGCAGTGGTATGTAAGCATTTACATGTTGGCTTTAATGACCCAGCTTTATGGGCATTAGTGGTCGCGCTGTAGTTAGATGAGTGCAAAAACAGTGTAAAATCCTTGCCTTGGCTGTTCTTGTCTCCAGAGCTCAACCCAGTCAAACATTCTGAAGCTGCACACAGGAGAAGTGAAGAGGGGTATTGCATCTCCTCGGTATAGTTCCGGGCACTTCTAGAATCCGTACTGAGGTACATTGATACTGTTCTAACCCCAATAGTCTATCACTGGTGTTCCGTCAAAAGCTAGTAGCTATTAGTATCTAGGAAACTTGAAAAACAATCAATCCTTTAACACTACTGGGGGCAAGGTGAAGGATTTACTGCCATGAAATGTGAGAAATACCACTTGCTGATTGTAATGTTTTACCTTGTTGTCGTGCCCGATGTAGACAAAATCCCCTATGTGTCAGCAATGTTATTTACATTCTGTCCAGAAGGGGGCAGCATCTCATTGCTATTAAGTGCAAGGTGATTGAAGAATCAGCCATGCGGTGTATTTGTGGGATTTAGGAAGCTATCGTTTTATATATATATATTTCTCCAGACGCCAGTCACGTATTTTATTTATTTTATCATGTTTTACAGTCACAGGCCATAAAGCTGCCTGTTATTGTGACATGAACCCCAGAGTCTCACCAACTGTCCCTGTAAAGTTTATGGGGAGCTAAGGATGTGTAACTGCAAATAATTGAGAGCAATATCCAAGATTAACCATATCGGGGAATGTGTGCACACACACCCTGACAGGCTTAATCTCACCACATTACTCAAGACCTGCGTTAGGCCTCATCTTAGATTATCATCCTTACGCCGGTTACTCGTGGTGTTGAGTTTATTTCCGTTATTAGCAGACTCATGACCCCAGACATGGCTTTTCAGTGTGCATGTGCATGTTTTCTTAAAGCAGTCTGGGTTTGTGTGAGCGTTTTTGTAGTTATTGCATTGTGGGGACCAGATTGGGTAGGGGTTAATGTTGTAATAGTTGGGATTAGGGTTATGCCCATAGAAATGAATGGGGAGTTCCCATAAAGATATGAATATGTGGATTCTCTCTCTCTTTCTCTCTTTCTGTGTGTGTGTGCGTGCGTGGTGTGTGTCCGTGTGTTTACGTGGTGTGTGTGTGTGTGTGGTGTGTATCTGTGTCTTTGCATGGTGTGTGTGGTGTGTGTGTCTGTGTTTGTGTGGTGTGGTGTGTGTGTGTGCGTGGTGTGTGTGTGTATTGCTGACCTTGAAGAGGAGGGCACAGTCTCAGTCTCAGAGACGTGACCTGCACCCCCACTTCCTCGAGCTCTCGCACTCACAGTGCCAGCCAGCAGCCCTCCTTCCCCCTGCGGTCCCCTTCTGGCTGCCCTTATCCCGCAGTACTGAATCACACCGGAGGGATTTCCTACAGCTCCAGCTCTCAACGAGCCCAGAGAAATGACAAGGTACCTTCCTGAGGCTTGGTGCCTTTTCACGACATAATGAGGATCAGAGCTTCTGCAGCAAGGTACCACTGTTCCCCATAAGTAAAATAAATACTCTTTTTACAGTAGCACTACCTTCATTTCTTAAACAAGCAGTGTTTTCACTGTTTTACTATTTATCGTAAAACTTTTATTTTATTTGCTCATTGATTTATGATGACCCTCCCTTACTATCTCTGTCTGTAGATGTATTTTTTTTTTTTGGTTATAGATTTCATGGAATTCTTATCCTTAGCAATTCTAAGAACATACCACAAGAGCTTGAGCTAGCTAGACCGCCTGGTGGACCTGCCGTGTTCTAACTGCAAGAATACAGTGTGTAAGTTGTAGTAGGGCACTGGGGGCGCGGCGCCTCACAATTCTGATTAGCACATAGCTGGCGCGGGCACACGGGCTGCCAGTGCAAGCGCAGTGTGCCATGCTGCCGCAAACCTCTTTGTGGGGTAAGCAGAAAGCAGGTCTGCCATATTTCCTCTGCCCTGGCATATTTACTCACTCGATGACCTGTTCACTGTTTGACTTGGCAGGAGTCCCCCCTCTTTTTCTAGCCTGAATTGTTTGTCTGGGTCATGCGACGACACCAAAAGACACATGCACCTTAATCAAATCCCACGCACGCCGTAAAAATAGAACAAGTTAAATCGGCTGGAGAGGACGCATGCTTACAGTAAGCGAAGTCGCACACTAAGTAATATGACCCGCTCTGCAATTTTTACGTTTAATTTCTGTGACACTGTTACTATGGAGTAACGCGCAAAATACACATAGCCCCTGACATGCAAAAATAGAATGAAATCAAAAGGAAAAACGAGTCATGCTTAGTCTGAGCCAAACCTCAGAATAAATAAAATGTCCACCAGGGACCCTTCAGATGGGATCTGAACCTGAGTAACTTCTATAAAATATAAAAATTGGCACCTAAAGGTCTTACGACCTCAAAGTATTGTCTTATGTGTTATTTTGAGGGCATTTGTCAATATTCTTTATTGAACATGGAGGTAATATTCATGATGAAAACAAACAAAAATGTGTTTATCGAAAGTATGTTTAGCAATGAAATTCACGCACAATACTGCTTAACCCCAGGTAGGCAGAAAATATTTTTGGGATGGGGCATTTTAGGGCAGACAGGACTGCTAGATCGATGCTTTTGCACTTTATAGCGGAGTACCACTCTCTGGCAAATCCAGCAGCTGAGACTGCATTGAGTTTTGAATCTGTACGGATGCCCAGTAGTCTGTATAAAAACACTAGTTTAAAACCAGTGAGGAGAGGTCCCAGTTGTATGTTGCTTTGGACAGAAGCATCTGTCAAATAAATAAATGTAAACATAAAGATTCTGCAGTTAATGATGGTCTGCTTTGTACGTTCATGTTAGAACTTGTAAATAGGAACAAAAGTGACAGGATTAATGCGGGGACACTAAGATGCTGGCACCACGTGGATATGACTGTAATGGAACCTTGGTGGAGAGCAGATGTAGAATTTGCCACAACAATTAGACTTTAATGAGCATTGGTCAGCCTGACATATTCACAGTAATTGGATATTTAAAATCCCATTTCTGCTCCGTGCGGAACGTAAAGGAATACCTTAGAGTCAACAATAAGCATAGAAGATAACTGACCTTCAAGGACGATCGCAGGAGTTTCCTGGAAAATTCTATTTAGTATGAAATATAGTGAAAAGAGGAAGATGTCATGGAAATGAAATAATTAGTTGAGCTTTTTCCATATTGCAACGAACGTTACTTATGATCACATTTCTGATAATCCTTCAAGGACAGAAGGACTAATTACAATTCACGATCTAGTCGACTATGGATTAAACAATGAAAGGGCCACTCTACTGAAAAATCACCATTTTCCTCAGAAGGAAACTCTTAATTATGGATTAAGCAACGAAAGGAGCACTCTACTGAAAAATCATGTGAACATTTTGAATCACAGTGCACTCCTTGTTCCTTTTTAAATTTCTGTTTTAAAAATGTTGCACATGCAAAATGCTGTGGGTGTCTGATCTGCAGAAGATTAGCTGGAGATTTCTAGAATTTGTTTCACATTTCCATGTGTCTGGACACCAGCTGCTGGGACAGTAGCACATCCTATCTGCTGCACATAGCCAATGAACCCAAGGAGCCAAGAATGATTTTCTGCATGTAAAAACCAGTTTGTCTATTGAGTCCTGAAGTTTGTCTTCTTTCCACAAATGTCTTTTCTTCAAACAATGGCAGTGGAGGAGCTTGGATTTGAATGTTATTCCAGGAAGCTGCGATGAGGCAACCAAACACACCATGGTGGGTATGAACACTGTGACCCGTCACTGAAACAAAATATGTGGCAGGTCCCTTTAGTGAGATCATGTGTCAAACTGCACGGCACCGTGTCCTGGCCTTGTACAAGGGGCCAGCAAAGACAGAAGGAACCTGAGGAAGGATACGAGAGAATCAGAGGCGGAAATTTCAGATTCAGATTTTGTTTGAACCAACCAGTTGATTTTAAAAGTCATCGTCACAGAGTACTGAACTGTTTGGTTGAAATGTGTCTGGATTTTTACTTTCTGTACCTGAACTATCTACCTCTGGACAGAATATTAAACACGAAAAGCAGCATCAGAACCTGGAGTCAGAATGACTCAGGCATCAAGCATAAAGGGGCAGCCAGCTCCATCTTTCAGGCATCAAGCATAAAGGGGCAGCCAGCTCCATCTTTCAGGCATCAAGCATAAAGGGG